GTTGAGAGGAGTGTTTTCTTTTTCTTATTGCTTAAATTTTTCTTTTAATAATGTGAAAATGTCATTTTTAATATTTAAAAGAAGTTGCCAATTGTACTAGGACTCAAAAAAAGGTTGAAAGATTACTTCCTATAGGGTTTGTAGCAAGCATTTATTTTATTTTTATTTTTTTAAAATATATCTTTATTGAATTCAGAGAGAGAAAAGAAGAGGTAGAGAGAGAGAGAGAGAGACAGGAACATCAGTGATGAGAGAGTCATTGATTGGCTGCCTCCAGCACATCCCCTACCGGGGACGGAGCCCACAACCCGGGCACGTGCCCTGACCTGGAATCGAACCTCGATCTCCTGGATCCCTACGTCGATGCTCAACCGCTGAGCCACGCCCGGTCGGGCTGTAGCAAGCATTTATATATCAGATTAAAGTATGACTGGCCTTTGGGGTCTTCTAATTCTAAAACTTTATGATTTTTTAAAAAATATATCTTTATTGATTTCAGAGAGAGAGGAAGGGAGAAGAAGAGAGAGACAGAAAATCAATGATGAGAGAGTCATTGACGGGCTGCCTCTGCACACTCCCAACTGGGGATCAAGCCCGCAACCCGAGCATGTGCCCTGACTGGGAATCGAACCATGATTCCCTGGATCCTAGGTCGATGCTCAACTGCTGAGCCATGCCCAGCTGGGCTAAAGCTTTATGATTTTAATGTCACATAAACAAAGAAGCATATACCATGATTTAATGCAGAAGAGGAGCCAAAGATCATATGAATGGGCATAAGCCAGTGGTTCAGTCACTGAGACATGACTGATAGTAGTTTCAGAAAAGCAGTGAACATGAAAGGCAGGTCAGTGTGATTTTAAAGGTATGGCTGATAGAAAAATGAAAATTGAATAAGCCATTCATTCCAGAGGAGTAACAATGAGAAGGAAAAGAGGAAAAATAAGGTAATTTGCTGGTTAAAACTAAGATATAGAAAAACATTCATATTTGAAAAAAGAGAAAACACCAAGAAGAGGACCTTTAGTTATTAAGACATAAATGAACACTACTTAACCTAGCTCAATACTCATGTATATATTTGACATTTTGGTCCAAAAAATTCTAAAACCAAGTTTTCACCCATTGAGACACAGTATTCTCTTTTAGTGAAAATATTTATGTTAATTACTATATATTTTCCCTAGAACAGCAGCTTATCTTAAAATGGAACTTGGTTCCATCTCCCACTCTGTAAAGTAATAAATAAGTAGCCACCCAACCACTTCCTAAAATAAACTACATTTAAAAGTTATTTATTGTAAGTACAGAAAGTTCCACAAACATATGCATCAAAGCAGCACTATTCTTGTTACCTAATAGGAGGTTCTGGAGTTTTAATTTGTTATCCTTTGCTGTTAAACAGGAATAATCTCTTGCACTACTTAATAAGGTCTGCAGACTCAAGAAACATGCAATAATTATTTAAACCATCACTGATATTGAACTCCAATTAGTATAAAAGTTAATTCATGTCCAAGCCTTTATCATCTAGGTTTATCTCAGTTAAATGAGTCAACATTTTGAAACGACACAGTCTTGTTAAGTACAGAACGAAGAGTTCTATTTGAAAGATGTACTCAACTATGTCTTCACCATCCGGCGTTTGTGTGGCCGTGCAGACTGGTTTTTCTGCCATGTCAGAATGAACAAGCTGAAAACAAAGAACAAAACCCTTTTAAAAAGTTACTGGAAAAGGCAATATTCCTATAACATAATTTAGAACAATAAGGAAGTGTAATATAGACATTATCCCAGGTTTCAGCTTTCAGTCCACACTATTGATCCGTTTTAAATTGTGGCTGTTTTGCTAGACAGTCTTCTAAATAACATATAATATTCAACTTATAATGTACAACAGTACATTTCACCACAAACATGCAAACAGCATCTAACAAAAGGTAAACTCCCTTTTGAAACCAAGAGGACAAAGAACATTCTTCTGTAAAGGGCTCTCTGGGCATGAAAAGGGAAATAAGGAATTTTGCTTCAAAATGTGCTAAAATAAACCAGCGACACAATTATAAGTACTTACCTTTCCAGAGTAGATTACCAGGGGAGGCTGGAGTGTTCAGTGTACTTACTGAAGGAGAATTGGGAAAGCAGAGCTTATAAAATCTAAACAAGTCCATTAGACATTAAACTAAGTTCATGATAGTTGTCATTTATGAAGTATTTATTATGCACCTAGCAGTGTGCTGACTGCTTATGTGCTTTGCCTCCTTTAGTCCTCACGACAGATATGAAATACATGTTTTCATTGCCATATGCCGGGTGAGAAAATTCAGATTCAGAAAAACTAAATAACTTACCTGCCCAAGATTTCAGCTGTACAGCAAAGGTCTGAACCGACTCCAAAGCTGGTGTTCTTTGTATTTGTAGACCAAATCTTCGCTGGTTTTGCAACTGTTTGGAACGAGGGAGGAGAGATACAAGAGAGCATGTTGTGCTGATTTATAAGCAGAACTCCCTTCGAAGGACATGCTACCCTACTTTTGAGGAGAGCACAAAGATACTGAGAAAATGAGGCATATTTTAAAAGAAAATATTATAGAAGGGTATAGCAAATAAAAAAGCAAAGAGAATTAAAGAATGGCTCTGTGTACCATGGTTGCTTCACTAGATCTATCCTGAGGGTTATTCCACTTTAGTGGAGTTCCCATAAAGCATTTAAACTGTACACAAGTGTGAAGGCTGTCTTGAGTAAAACAAGTTATGTAATTGTGAGAAATAGTAATTCCCCTTTTTTATGGAACATCAATTTCAACTGCAAAAACAACTGACAGACACTAGTTTGTCAGGCTTTGTAACATGGAAAAAAACAACTGAAGATGTGTGTTGTAAATGATAAAATTTGAGCTTTAAAGTTTTTGGAGAACTTGTATCTACCATCATGATCTTGACAACTTTCTAATACTAACAAACTTTCCCCAAAAGATTAGTGATGATATTAACAAATAGAAATTGTTGATAATGTATAATGAACTATGTAGGCATTAAATAGACTTGGCTTTTCCAGCTTCAGCATTATTGACATTTGGGGCTGTAGAATTCTTTGTTGTGGAGGGCCATTCCATGCATTGTAAGATGTTTAGCAGCATCTCTGGTCTCTACCTAGTGGTGGATGTCAGTAGCAATCCTAACTGTGACAACCAAACCTGTTTCCAGACATTGCCAAATATTTCCTAGAGGGTAAAATCATCGCCAGTAAGAAGCACTGAGTTAGATAACTCAGTACACAGATATTTTCCAGGTGCCCAATGTGTGACATTACAATAGCCATACATGAGTTCAAGATTCATTTAGACTGTAAGATACATCCACAGATTTTAATGTAATAAAACAAAAAGTATATAAATATAGTTTCAGAGTCTACATTGCAATTAATCTTGTTAAGTTTTGGAGGAGTGTCAAAGAAGAATATTCACAATTATGTGGGAGGACTATTAAAGGATTTGTTTTTCCAACTATATCTCTATATGGAACCACATTTTCATCAGAAACATCAACCAAAACAATGTATTTCAGGAAATTGAATGCAGAGGCAGATATAAGAATCCAGCTGTCTTTTTCTTTTTACTTTTTTATTGGGTTAAAATATACATAATATAAAATGACCATTTTAAGTTCAGTGGCATTCAGTACATTCACATTGTTGTCGGAGCATCACCACCATTCATCTTCAGAGCTCCTTCTGTCTCCTCTGACACTCTATACTCATTCAACAGTAACTGGCCATCCCCCTCCTGCCCTCAGCCCCAGGAAACCATATTCTGTCTGCTAATGACATTTGTCATAATAATATTATATTTGTTCTTTGAGTTTTTCTGTATAGGCCAACTGTTTCTGATTGCTGAACATGTATACGATAACTGTTAATGCTCTTTCTATGGCTTCTGTGAATGTTATATTAGATGCCAAATACAGAAAAATGAGACAGAAGGCAAACCTTGGATCATGATAATTCACAGGATAGAAAAGATCCAGAGTGTTTTTTCACAATGAAGACCTGCCTTCTTTTTACTTACACTTCTCTTTTGGGAAAATTCAGCCTCAACTCAGATCCCGTGGTTACAGTTTTGCCCCATCCCCAATGGTCAACAAGATGACATGGGTGCTGAGACTTCCTAGGAATGAGCCTTCCTAGAGCTATGAGACCACACTATCTGACACCAAAAGTTTGGTCATCAATGTATCCTTTAAATGGATTTATGACCAAAAGAGAGAACTGTAAAAGGGGAGGGGAAAAAGAACTTGGGGTGGTGAACACACAATACAATATACAGATGATGTATTATAGAATTCTACACCTGAAACCTATATAATTTTATTACCTAACGTCACCCCTTTTTTTTTTTAAAGGATTTTATGGAAAGTAACCTCAAAGGGTGATCTGACCATAAATTCCTTACTGGAAGGTCATGGTAGGTAGTCTTGCCCCAGGCATATAACTTTTTAGTGAAAGGTTTATCTTTGCCTTAAGCAAGCCCTGTCCTTTGTTTCTGTGCTAGGTTAAAAAGCCTTTGAAATAAACTGTAATCACCCTCAACAGAGCGTATAATCTTGCTAACTATACTGTAATCCAACCCCCACATTGCTTCCTCCCACATCCATGTAATCTTTCTTAGTTCTCTTCTTAATTTCAAATGCATAAAAGAAGCTGTGAAACTGTTTAAAAAGTTTCAACTACAACAGGAGGGCACACGCAACCCACACAAAGGACACTCCTGGAGCACCAGGCTCAAGTAACCAGAAAGACAGCATCACTGGGCCCCACAGGACACCTGTTACATAAGGCCACTCTGTGAAGACCAGGAGATGTACTGGATCTACCAACTACATAAAAAACAAACACAGGGAGGCAGCAAAATGAGGAGAAAAACATGCCCCAAATGAAGAATCAGACAAAACTCCAGAAAAATAACTAAATGAAATGAGACAAGGAATCTACCAGATTCAGAGTTCAAAACCCTGGTTATAAAAATGCTCAATGAATTTAGGGGACGAATAGGTAGACTCAGTGAGAACTTCAACAAATACTTAGGAAACATAAAAATGGCAGGAGATGGAATATAGACAGCCTCTAGGAGCAAAGACTGGCTCCTGCTGACAGGAAGCAAGGAAAGGAATACTCCAGTCCTACAACCATAAAGATCTGAATTCAACCAACAACCTAAACTGTTCTGGCCACCATGGCCAGAAGAATATACCTAAGGAAACAGTAAAGGTAGAACAAGATCCCTACTGTACAGGACAAGGCCCGACAAGCTAGCCCAATAAGCCCCCACCCCCTCCCGAGTTCCCATAGAAAGAACAAACCAGTCACACTCTGGCCAAGCATAACCCCATTACTCATTGTAAGACATTGTGTTTAAATCGTTCCTTTTGTGTTGCTAAAGGTCCCCCCTTGTTTCCTGTACCAAAAGCTGACAGTCTGACAAATTATTGGAAACCCCTTTACTGCAGTGCCTTTGTGGTTACTGAGCATAAAGTGAGAGAAGAACTGAGGGTCAGGGCTGCAGTTCGGCTCTTACATGGGTGAGTGCTGCAACTGTAGCCGCTGGCAGCTAATAAAGGCTCCAAAATTCAAACACAAACTCTGGTGGTCATCTGTCGCCGGTCCCCCCAGAACAGAATGACACTTGAAATATATTCTTCCCCAGAGCTTCCAGAATGGAACATAGCCCTGCTGGAATCTTAATTATCACCTTGTAAGACTCTAAACAGAGGACCCCGATGAATGACTCTGTCCTTGAATTTTTGCCTTACAAAGCTACTAGTGTTAATTGTAACTGAGAAGGAATCTGCCAAACCATCTAGTTACTTTGAATCCTACAAGCAAGCTGAATACAGGCCAGATATTACCATAATTGTGTGAGAAAGCAATAGTCAGAAAAATTAGAAGTTTAAAATGAAACATCTCATCACACTGAAATTTCTTCACATCACAGATAAAAAATGAAAATAAGGTTGCAACCAAAGTAAGTTTGCTTGGCTCCTGATGAGTTAACCTATATTATGGATACTGTTCAACGTTGTTGTTTTTTCTTAAACGCGGGAGTCAATGCCAATTTTGAAGTGTCTGAAAAATTCACTTTTATGAATAGTCTGTGTACAACTTCAGGAGAGAATACTTTCAAAGAAGCTGAGAAAAACCTACTCAGTACTACATCAAGCGGAATTTGCTAAGTGGGTACTTTGTGGAAAATGTTTGAATCTACCATGGGTTATTGAACCAGTAATGTCAATGGTGAACTTAATTTGCTCTCATGGACTTATCCATTGTTAATTTCAAGAATGTATGTTAAAAATAGGAATTAAATATCTTTATGTGCCTTACCACGTAGCCAGCAGTTTGATAGATTAGAAGTGGTAAGGTGTGTGTGTTAAAGTTTCATTAAGATTTGTGTGTCAAAGTTTCATTAAGATTTGACCTCAGGGCAGAGATCTAAATTTTTCTAAATGAGAAGAACTGCCCTGGATCACTTATCAGTTACTGAAAGGCTTTGGAAATTAGCTTTTGCTTTAAATCTGATAATGTTTCTTAATGAATTCAACCTAAAATTACAAGGTAAAACAGCTTATAACATATAACTTGTAAGTACAGTCAAGTCATTTCGATGACAACTGGTAATTGTTTGAATCACAAGTGATGTCAAGTTGCTTTATATACTTGCAGTGCTGTCAAAAGGTAAAAACAAGCCCTGCCCTGAGTGGCTCGGCGGTTAGAGCCCCGGGCTGCACTTGGAAGGGTGGCGGGTTCCATTCCCCATCCAGGGCACATCATGGGTGGCAGGGTCCCTGCCCCTGCTGGGCTGTGTGGGAGGCAACCAACTGATGTGTCCCTGTCGCATGATGTTTCTCTCTCCCCCCCCTCCCTTCCACTCTCTCTAGAACCAGTGTAAGAAATATCCTCGGGTGAGAGTCACACAACAAAACAAAAAGGTAAAAACAAGACGTGAGACCCCTATCCCCTCACAAAATTAGCAAGAGGACACATTTTTCAAGGGCAAACTATTGTCCCAGGAGCATTTTCAGACCTCTGTGCAAGTGCAGAGGACATTTCCGTATTTTGAAACTCATTTAACCCTGCAGTTGAGATGCTACCCAACCTTTATGGAGGAGTGATGGATTTGACATTTAGTGACATCCTATCAAAAGAATACAACGGAATTCTAGAAGTGCCCTCCTAGCAATAAATATGTTCAGTCATACGCTTACGGATATCGGTATTTGGCAGTTATCTAGTTGAAAAGTTTTCAAAGCTGATCATAGAGAAGATTTCATTATAGACTGGCATTAACAGGTGAGCTTCCACAGTTCCCCTCGGGGATGGAGAACTCACTCCAGGCCCCATGAAGCAAAATGTTATACCCCATTAAAAGAATTCCATTCTTCTCATCAGCAGGCCTGGGCTGCCAAAACCACTGCATTCAGTCACTACCGTCACGTTTGGAGCTTCGTCAATATAAAGCGGCAGGGGCGGGGGGAGCGGTGCTCCAGGGCCCCGGGGAGCGCGGGCTCGCGCGGTCCCCTCGCGGTCCCCTCGCGGTCGGAGCGGCGACGCC